AAAATGGATCAGTGTTAGTTGAGTGCATAAGAAGTGAAGATAGTAAAAGCCAATTTATAGAACAAAAGAAAATGATGAGCCATGCAGCCATTGTTGTATATCATAAGTATACTTTTTATGATATGACAGTGCAGTTCTGAAATCCTCTACATGCTGAGGCAATACATAAAGATGAGCTCATCTCAGTTATTTATTTGATTCTTTCAATTTTACTTTGCTCAAAGAAAATAGTTAAGAGGCTTTGGTTAAGAAAGAATGAGATTAAATTTATCTTGTGTTTAGTTTGAGTTAACAATAACAACAACGACAATACATCAGTGTAATTTTTCAAGTAGAGTTTGAGGAGGGCGAGAGACCTTATCCCCTGCCTTTATGGGGTTAGATAGATTGTTTTTTCGTTCGAGTTACTTATTAGCTAAAGTCAGAATTAGTTTTATATATCAACATAATACAAGATAATCGAAACACAAAAAATAACATGTAAGTAACAGAAAAACGAAACACATGAAACTATGAGAATACTGGTAAGACTAGCTACGAAACACCAAATTATGTTGTAGGATATTGAATTTCAAATATTAAATGGTTAAATTAGACACTATAGAAAACAATATTGTATAAAAAAAAATAATTAAAATTAGAAAAAGGATTATATTTGGCATCAAACTGTACTTAGTGATTCTATAATGAAAGTACTATAAACCAATGATAATTAAGATATTGTGACGTAGTGATCATATAATAGTAGTAGCTGTATATAAAACCCATACAACTCTCAGTTTTAGTTATGCTAATTAGATTCCCACCAAGTACTGTACTATGGATCTCTTTCATTGTCACCTTTTCAATGTTTAAAATTTGTGTCAAATCGATAACCGATAACGATATATTCAGTATAATTTTATAAGTAGGATCTGGAGAAAGTTGATGTGTGTAAACTCTATTTGTATGTTTATAAGTAGGATCTACTGACTATATATTCAACCTTATTATAAAACTTATCTTTAAATTTGATCGAATAATATCAGACAAATTAAAACGAAGAAAATAGTTATTATTATTTTTACTGCAGTAACAAGACAGAGTGACGGCTTATTATCTGAAAATAACTGCACCTATATCTTATCACAAGTAAATATTAGTAGGGATTATTTCATGCAAAAGGACACCTGCCCAACCCAATAGGAAAATTTGAGGATAAATTTTTGACATTTGAAGTTGTACTAATAAATATATATTACTGACAATATCTTAAACAAAGTGTAATCATTACTTTAGATATGATTAATTTTCTTTATTTCTTTCGTTTTAATTTATTTATCCGATCTTTTATTGATAACATATGTTGTCTATGACGTGTCCAACAATATATGTTTATCGGAAAATTATAAATCAAATTTTGATTATTTTTCGATAGATATTAATATTGACATCTCGTGACACAAGATAACGAGTTGTAAAAACTCTTAATGATCGGTTTTTCGATCTTAGCTCAAGTTTTAACTTTAGTGTTTTTTTCTTCTTCTCATTTTTAAACAATTGATTACGTTGTATAATTTTGACACCACTCGATTTAAATTTGGTCTCCGTCATTGAATGAACATATATGAAAGATTATTTTTTCAAATCTCAATATGAATATCGATAAAAAATAATAATAAAATTAATTATTAGCATCAGATCAAGATCTATGGTTGATTGATGCTATATATATATATATATATATATATATTAGTACCCTTTTGCAGCTACTTGCATTGCTGGCTTCTCTAATATAAACATCACATCAATAAGTCAAAAAAAGAAAAACTCACAATCTGATTAATCTTTTAAAAAAAAACTTTCATAAAAATAATCTTTATTTCTTCTATTTTTAGCAATTTTTAAAAATTTAAATTGTATATAATATGTTTAAAACTACAAAACTGCCCGATATTTTTTGATATAAGATTTAAAAGTTAATTTTTTTATGTCAAATTAAAATAAGATAAATAAATTAAAACGATCGCGTATAAATTTGGATATTCATATTTAACCAGAAAGACAGAGTAGAGACCTTTAGTTGATGCTTTGGATTGACCTTCTGAAACACTAGCCAGCTATTGGAAGGCTCTACTGTCACTTCCATTTTTATTTTTAAAATTTAATTATTTTTTTAAAAAAAAATTATTTCATTGACATCTGATATCTACGATGAAGTCTAACTAATTCAGATTTTTACCGCATAAAGCCTTACTATCGTAAACGCTCCCTATCAAAGACTTGAATCTAATACCTTTTATTAAGGAAGAACTATCTCCATAATAACGAAACCAAAATATCGACTAAAATGTGTCAAAATATTAAGTAAAATCATGTAGAATTTAAAAAGTGTTAATGCGTAATATATATATACACGATATTTAAAATCCAAGTTGTGATTAATTTGGAAGTACAAAGACTATATGCCCAAAAAGGGAAAAAAGAAGAAGAAGAGAGGAACCTAGGATTGTATGTAAGTTGACATACAACTTGTAGTTTCTGTTAAACTTTAGATTCTCAAATAAATAGTAGTTGTACTATCCTTGTACCAATATGAATTGCGGAGGGATGATTCGAGTCTCTCGTATTTAATTAAAAATCTTGAATTTGAATTCTTAAATATAAAAATATTTTATTAGTAACTGTTAGTAAATACAAGCCATTTCCATAACAACGAATATATCATCTCTAAATGACAAAATTGAAAGATATATCATCCCATTTTCCCTTTAAATTCATAGTATATATATATATATATATATCAACATAAAGTTCTGGAAGAATATCCTACTTACATCATTGGAAAGATATGATGCAATTGATTCCAGCAAAAGGCAATTTCATGATTTTTCAAGCTGGCAAACACTAATATATGGAGCAAATGTATAGTTTTTCTTTGGTCCCGTTTAATATTCGATATCTATATTAGCTCATTAAAATTGAATTTACACCAAAAAGTTTCACGTTAAAGGTAATACACTCTCTAACAAAGATGATCTTCTAATCCAAGAAGACTTGAAATCAAGAACTCTGATTAAAAATGAGTACTTACTAATTACTAGTCCATCACAACGTTTAAATAAGTAGAAAATGACAAAAATATTGAATTTTATTATTGGGAAAATTACGCGGATAAGCAAATTTATACTATTTAATTACTCATCATAGCTATAATTTGCTATAATTATCACTCGCGACTAACATTGCACATTAATTAAGGGGGTGATTTCGAGTTTGTATAATAAGTCATGTTTGAATATGTATAATTCGCCAGGATGTACAAATAAATATGTATAACATACAATTTTTTAGCCTATATACATATACAATTCACCTCTCTCCCACTCTCTGCCCTCTCTTGCTCGCCTCTCTCCTCCCTCTCTCAATCTTGCTCGCCTCTCTCCTCCCTCTCCCTATCTTGCTTGCCATTTATACAAATGTATATGTATAATATATAGTTATATACAATTATATACATATACAATTTACCTCTCTGCCCTCTCTCGCTCGCCTCTCTCTTCTCTCTCCCAGTCTCGCTCGCCTCTCTCCTCCCTCTCCCAATCTCTCTTGCCATATATACTATTACATATGTATAATATACAATTATCTAACCAATATCATATACAATTTATCTGTTTCCCACTCTTTTACCCCTCTCTCTCGCCTCTCTTCTTTCTCTCCCAGTCTCGCTCGCCTTTCTCCTCCAAATAACATGTAGCTACAAATTGTAATTATCAAACTATAGCTATAGAGAGTAATTAATTATTTTTAAGTAGCTATATGTGAAAATTTCCCAATTTTATTTTACTTGGGACCAACTGCCTCCACCTCTTAATTATAATTAGTTAACATTCTCGATTTGTTAGTATATTTGGGACTCAAACTTGTGGTTAGAATACTGATTTTATGAAATTTGAATGTTGAAAATTAAATCATATCCATAAACATGATATTAAGAGAATTAACTTAGACATGAATTCTAAGACTTCATTTTTTCGATATCAAAATTCATTTTTCCAACAATTCTCCATATATTTCAAAAGGAGTAGAATAATAAAAAGTTATGTTGGATTTTCTTAAATGAGCATAATATATTGAATTTGGTGTTTCTTGGATTTTGAATCAAACCTAGATAACACATACTTTTACGTTCACAAGCCAATTTTTATAAATAAGATGATTTTTTTATTTTCTCATGAGTATTAGTCCATGAATCTGACACCTTGGAGTACTAATTTTTTTTTAAAAAAACTTTTTAAAAATCTTCGTAATGATATGATAGAAATATTACATTTAATTTCATCATTTTGAGGCATATTTTTTACATTAGAAGTTAACTTTTAAAAATTCGTCAATCTTATAGTTTTTTTTATATATTCCTAAAAATTGGTTCATAGATGCAGAAATACGCTTTACCGACTTACGAAAAAGTGGAATAGGTTGAATTAATTTTCCACCAAACTTATGTTATTATCCAAAATCTAAACCAAACTGTACATATACATCTATATATCCTTTTTCATATTGTTTATTTATATATTTAGGCTATTGAGTTTCACACACGTTAACAGACAAATGGCAATATATTATAAATAATCGCCGCTAAAAGTTATATTAGTCACCACTAAAAAGTTATATTAGTCGCCACTAAAAGTTTTATTAGTGGCAACTAATCGTCGCCAAAAGCTATATTAGTTGCCACCTAAATGTCTTTATTAGTGACAATTCTAGTCGATGCTAAAAGCTATAATCGCCGCTAAAAGTTATGAAGTCACCGCAAAACTTTATTAGGCGACAACTATTATCGCTAAAAGGTATATTATTTGCCAATAAAAGTCTTTATTAGTGGCAACAATAATTGCCGCTAAAAGCTATATTAGTCGCCACTAAAAGTATTTAATTAGGTGGCAACTCTATTGCCGCTAAAAGCTCTATCAGTCGCCACTAAAAGTTTTTATTAGTGGCAACTATAATTGCCGCTAAAAGTTATATTAGCTGACACTAAAAGTTTGCCGCTAAAAGCTATATTAGTCGCCACTAAAAGTATTTGTTAGTGGCAACAATAATTGCCGCTAAAAGCTATATTAGTCGTTTTCCTAAAAGTATTTATTCGTGGCAACTATAATTGCAAGCTATATTATTCTCCACTAAAAGTATATATAAGTGACAACTACAATTGCCGCAAAAAGCTATATTATTCGCCACTAAAACTCTTTATTAGTGGTAACTATTATTGCCGCTAATAGAGGGACAACATTTTCAAATTGGCTAGCTGATGTTTCGTTTGTTAAGCTGGTGAAATTGTCTCTTAGTAACTGCAAGGACTGTTACTCTTTGCCAGCACTAGGACAACTCCCTTGTTTGAAATTCCTTTGGATTAGAGGGATGCATGGAATAAGAGAGGTGACGGAAGAATTCTATGGCAGTTTGTCTTCCAAAAAGCCTTTTAACTGTCTTGAGGAGCTTGAATTTTCTGATATGCCGGAGTGGAAGCAATGGCACCTTCTAGGAAGTGGAGAGTTTCCTACACTTGAGAAGCTTGACATTATAAATTGTCCTGAACTCAGTTTGGAGACACGGACACCCGTCCAACTTTCAAGTTTAAAAAGTTTTCAAGTAATTCGTTCTCCTAAAGTTGGATTTGTTTATGAGGGAATGAAGCAGATTGAGGAATTATATATCGGAAATTGTAACTCTGTTACCTCCTTTCCTTTTAGCATACTGCCCACTACCTTGAAGAGACTAGAGATATCTGGTTGCCCAAAATTGAAATTGGATCCGCCATTTGTTGAGATGTTTCTGGAGGAATTGAGTGTGGTCGAATGTGATTGTATAGATGATATATCAGCTGAGTTGCTCCCAACAGCACGCGAATTGAGTATTAGGAATTGCCACAACCTTACTAGGTTTTCTATTCCTACTGCCACTGAAACTCTCTTTATTCAGAATTGTGAGAATGTTGAAAAACTATCCGGTGGGGGGACCCAGATGTCGTCACTGACTATTTGGAACTGTAAGAAGCTGAAGTGGCTGCCGCTGCCACAACTCCTTCCATTTCTTAAGCATCTGTATGTGGATAATTGTCCAGAAATAGAGTCCTTTCCTCAAGGAGGATTGCAAAGACTTGTAATCTGGAATTGTAAGACACTGGTGAGCCGCCGAGAGGAGTGGACACTCCCCTGTCTCACAGAGTTATGGATCTCTCATGACGAAGAGATTGTTGGTGGTGAGAATTGGGAGTTGCCTACCTCTATTCAAATACTTGCTATATCCAATCTGAAAACGTTAAGCAGCCAACATCTCAAAAGCCTCACCTCTCTTCGACATCTTTGTGTGAAGGGTAATTTACCTCAAATTCAGTCAATGCTGGAACAAGGCCAATTTTCTCACCTCACTTCGCTTCAATGTCTACGAATCAGGGATTTCCGTAATCTCCAATCACTTGCTGAATCAGCACTGCCCTCGTCCCTCTCTCACCTTGACATCTCCCATTGCCCTAATCTCCAATCTCTTGGGATGCCATCTTCCCTCTCTGAACTATCTATTTCCAACTGTCCATTGCTCACACCACTACTAGAATTCGACAAGGGGGAATACTGGCCACAAATTGCTCATATATCCACCATACAGATCGATGAGGAATGCCTTTAATTATTAAAACAAAAGGCTGATGTAAGCTCTATTCTTTTTACTTCACTTTGCTTTTTTTGTTAATTCTTTTCATTTTTTAATCAAATGTTGGGCTCATCATCAAACACATAGATAAATCAGGGATAACAATCACAAGTTTTAGGAAATAAGTGCAACATTCCATTGTCACATGTTATATAATTCTATATTTTCTTCGATGGGGCTGGTATTGCTAACTTGAACATGTTCTGTGCTTTATCAGATGTGGATTTTGAAGGGCAATTACGACAAGTCTGGTGCTTCTAAGGTGCTGCTGCTATTTTTACATCTGCTCGCAAGTTCTTTTTTATTTTTTTTTGTTCTTTTCCGCTAAAGAAATTATGTCATCCACACTGAACTCAGATCTGCTGTTATAGGCAAGTCTTCGAGATGGGGCTATCAAAGAAGGGTGATTAATATCATTGTACCGCTGAGACTATTTCATGTTTCCAGAGCAAGCCTCTTTTGTAAGTTGACAAACTCGATTTGTATATTTGTTTGGGACTCAACTAGTGGTTAGAGTACTCATTTTGTAAGATTTGTGTCCACAAAATCAAATTAGAATGATAACTCTAGATAATTGAATAAGCTCGAGAAGTGGATTTGAATTTCAAATCGTGACTTTTTTTTTGTGTGTGTGTGAGAGAGAGAAATTTGAAGTGTTGCTTAGATTTGTTGGAATAGCCTAAAGAGATTATCTCTATAAAATTTGAAGTCATTTGATGGAGATCTGATTAGACGATTTTGAACAACAATTGCAATTGTTTTCGTAGTTAGCAACGTGTTATATATTTTTATAGTGGATATATCGTTTTCTCATTCGGTGCTCTCTTTGGTATCCACATTGAAATCCGACTAAATTTGGATTTGCGCATTTCAAGGGGTGGCTCTCTTGACATGATTTTTTCCATTACAACTAAAATTCTAATTTTGAGTGGAGAATTAATCTTAACTATCTCAACACAACTCATATCGTGCAAATATTTTTGAAAAAACCCGAATACCTAAATCCTACACTCATTACTTCACACAATTGCGAGATCCAGAGAAATATTTTAGGATGTATTGTCAACATTCTTAGCATTGTTAGTAATGTAACCTCAACTAAAAGCTGGACAATGTTACAATTTGAGAAAATGATCAAATTTCCCCCCAACCTATTATCGAATTCTTAACTACGCACTCCAAGGTCTTATCACCCATAAACTGTCTTCAAATAAAATAAACAAACCTATTAATTTGAATGCATATTAAGTGTTTATACCGCTAACGAAGATATTAAAACCGTTGAAGAGATCCCAATAGAAAAATAAAGCAACATCGGTTATGTAGTGTATAAATTTCATAAAACCCTAAGGTACATGAGAATAAAGTTGTTTAATGTAACACATGTACATTATTAGTGGCAACTATAATTGCCGCTAAAAGGTTTATTTGTCGGTAGTATTTATTAGTGGCAACTACAGTTGCCGCTAAAAGGTTTGACCGTCGCCACTAAAGTTTTATTAGTGGCAACTATATAATTGCTGCTACGTTTATTAGTCGCCTCTAACAGTATTTATTAGTGGCAACTATAATTGCTGCTAAAAGTTTATCTGTCGCCAGTAAAAGTATTATTAGTGGCAACTATAATTGCCGCTAAAAGATATATGAGTCGCCTAAAACTATAATTGCCGCTAAAAGATATATGAGTCGCTACTAAAACTATTTATTAGTGGCAACTATAATTGCCGTTAAAAGGTTATTGGTCGCTTCTAAAAGTATTTATTAGTGTCAACTATAATTGCCGCTAAAAGATATATTAGTCGCCACTAAAAGTATTTATTAGTTGCCACTAAAAGGTTTATCAGTTGCCCCTAAATGTATTATTAGTGGCAACTATAATTGCCGCTAAAAAAGATATATTAGTCGCCTTTAAAAGTATTTTGCAACTATAATTACCGCTAAAAGGTTTATCAGTTGCCCCTAAAAGTATTATTAGTGGCAACTACAATTGCCGGTAAAAGATATATTAGTCGCCACTAAAAGTATTTTGCAACTATAATTGCTGCTAAAGGTTTATTAGTTGCCCCTAAAAGTGTTTATTAGTGGCAACTATAATTGCCGGTAAAAGTTTATCAGTCACCACTAAAAGATTTAGTAGTGGCAACTATAATTGCTGCTAATGGTTTTATTAGTCGCCACTAAAAGTATCGCTAAAGGCTACGCCACTACAAGTATTTATTAGTGGCAACTATAATTGCCTCTAAAAGCGATATTTGTCGCCACTGAAAATCTTTATTAGTAGGAACTATAATCGCCGCTAAAAGCTATATTATTCGCCACCAAAAGTTTTTATTCGTGGCAACTATAATTGCCGCTAAAAGATATATTATTCGCCACTAAAAGTATTTATACTATAATTGCCGCTAAAATCTATATTAGTTGCCACTAAAAGTATTTATTAGCGGCAACTATAGTTGCCGGTAAAAGCTATATTAGTCACCACTAAAATTCCTTATTAGTGGCAACTATTATTGCCGTAAAAGATATAGTATTTGTCACTAAAAGTCTTTATTAGTGGCAACTATACTTGCGGCTACAAACTATATTTGTCGCCACCTAAAAGTCTTTATTAGTGCAACTACAGTTGCCGCCAAAATCTGTATTCGTCGCCAATTTGGAGCAGCTGAGGACATTGCTTCCGACATGTATTTATCTCATGGCAATATCATTGTCTCATTACGAGATTAAAGAGTTGCCGGATGACTTTTTTTATCAAATTAAAACTCCTCCGATTTTCGGACCTTTCTTGGACAGTTTAAAATGTTGCCTGATTCCATTTGTGTATTGTATAACTTGGAGACACTTCTGCTGTCATCTTGTTTTGATCTTGAGGAGCTACCGCTGCAGATGGAGAAGTTGATTAGCTTGCGTCATCTTGACATAAGCAACACTTCTCGCTTGAAGAAACCGCTACATCTGAGCAAGTTGAAAAGCCTCCAAGTGCTAGTAGGAGCCAGGTTTGTAGTGGATAGTCGCGGTAGTTTGAGAATGAAATATTTGGGTGAATAAGTAATCAGATGTGGATTTTGAAGGGCGAGTACGACAAGTCTGGTCCATCCATTGTCTACAAGAAGTGCTTCTAAGGCGCTGCTGCTATTTCTACATCTGTTTGCGAGTTCTTTTTTATTTTTTTTGTTCTTTCCGCTACAGCAATCTCATCCACAGTGAACTCAGGTCTGCTGTTATAGGCAAGTCTTCGAGATGGGGCTATCAAAGAAGGGTGATTAAAATCATTGCACCGCTGATACTATTTCATGTTTCCAGTGCAAGCCTCTTTGTAAGTTGATAAACTCGATTTGTAAATACGTTTGGGACTCAACTAGTGGTTAGAGTATTCATTTTGTAGGATTTGTGTCCAAGAAAATCAAAATATTGAACTCTTATTCAAAGGACAACTCGCGATTGTTGAATAAGCTCTGAGAAATGAATTTGAATTTCAAATCGTGTCTTTTTTATGTAAGAAATTTGAAGTATTGTTTAGATTTGTTGGAATAGCCTAAAGAGATTCTCTCTATAAAATTTGAAATCATCTGATTAGATGATTTTGAACAACCATTGGAATTGTTTTCGTAGTTAGCTACGTGTTATATATTTTTACAGTGGATATAATGTTTTCTCATTCGGTGCTTGGTATCCACGTCGAAGTCAAACCAAATTTGGATTTGCGTATTTCAAGGGGCATGTATTTATATACGAATGACATAGATATAAGCCATTTTAATAATTCAATGATATATTTAAGTTTTACACTTATTAGTATTTTCAAAAAAAAAAACATATTCTAAAATTGCTAATGTTTGCTCTTTCTATTCTCAAATTCTGTAATATTTAAGAAATATTGCAAATTATAGGTCACTTTTAACACTATATAATTATAAGTTTGGGTAAAAATTTATCATTTTAAGCTCTTTTAATTTTGAACCCTTCACCTCTTGCTTCAATTATTTTATTGAATAGTCTTTGTCTTAGCTTTTTGTTAGGTGAAAGTTTTTGTCTTCTTATTAAAAAAATTAATTATAATGAAATTTATGTACTAATATTTATGCATGATTTACTTATTTATGTTTTATTTATTCTATCTTCTATTCTTTATTTATTCTATCTTCTATTCTGTATAAAATAATGCTATATAAATTTGTGTACTATTTGTGTGAATTTCTAAATTGTCAAGCAAACGCAATATTAATTTTAGACATAAATAAATTACCACTAACCCAGATATCAAACATTTTATCATTTACACAAAATTTAATACTTGCATAATTCATTTCCAAACCAGCTACGAAATGATCCACATCAAAAGTAAAGTAAAAGTACCTTTAGAAATTGAAGATGGAAATATTTATCTTCTCAATTTTTTTTTTTTAAAAATCTTTTTGTGGTTCTTTGTTTTGCTTTGCAGGTGTTGAAGATGTTTCAAAAGCATACAAATGATGTTCATATGTTAACGTAACAATAACAAAAATATCTTTTAGAAACATTAAATATTGACATTAATAAAGAGTGTTAAAGTTAAAGTCTTTATCGAAATTAGTTAAGTGTCATTAGAACCGTCGCTAAAGGATTCAGGGACGTATATGAAGAGTGACAACTGCCGCTAAAAATACATTCCGTTGATGATAATTTTTGTTATAGTGCGTCATGGTTTATTATGTATAAAAAATTATTAAATAATGATTTTTTTAAAAGAAAAATAATAAAAAGAACTCTTCAAGAAGGTAAAGTATACATGTTAATTATATTGTAAGTTTCTATTTTAACTCTTTTATTTTTGAGTCCCCCCTAATCAATAACCCTACCCCTCTTGCTTCAATTATTGAATTGAGGAAATAATGAATAGTAATTGTCTTCTTGTTAGGTGAAAGTCTTGTCTTTTTGTTGGGTGAAAAATTTTCTTTTTCTAAAAAAAGAGAAATAAAGACAATTTTGTTTTTTCCTTTAATTAATTATAATGAAATCTATGTATTATTTAGTCCATGCTTTACTTATTTAATCTTTATATTCCGTATAAAATACTTAAGTATAATCAAATACCGTATTAATTAATTTTATACATGATAACTTACCTCTTAACCAACTAACAAACATGATATCGCTTATACATAATTTAAAACTTGCATAATTTATTTCCAAACAAGCTACCAAACGACCTATAATTAGCATTAACAGGTAAAGTAAAGTTTCTTTGGTAGTTTTGAAGATAAAAACATTTATCTTCTCAAAATTAATTTTTTAAGACCATTTTGTGGTTCTTTATTTTGCTTTGCAGATGTGGTGTATGTGGTTGTGTAGAGATATTTTTTTTTTCGATGACTATTCTAACCCACCCCACCCCGCAATCGCATAAGTCCAAACCCGCCTCATCCTGGTCCGCATCTATCACGCTCCATTTTCATCCCTACTTTTCATTGATTTTTATTAGGTTTGGTGACAATTGAACTTTATAAATTACTTTGGCACAACTTGTGTTGTCTTATCCCAAGCTTTAGTACTTTTTCCACTACTTCATAATAACTCAATAGACCAAATAGCTGTGAATTGATGTACTCACTCTGTTTTAATGTTAATGTCCTAGTTTACTTACTAGAGCACGATGTTTACGAAATAAAATGAGACTTTTCAATCTTAGGCTCTTAAATTAAGATATTGTGCTTCAATACACAGAGGAATAGGGCAAGGGCACGTTGGTATATGAAGCATTCCGCGTTAATATGATTGGGGGAAAAGGTGTATCTCAAAGGAATGTGATGTATACAACCTAACCTAATACAAAGATTAGTATTATTAGCCTTCACAGCTCAACTCTGTGTGTGACGTGTAGACAAATTTACCGTTGCACCAACTTATTCATGATATAATTGTCCCTGGGTAGAAATTTATTACTTGATGGCCCTTTCTACACCCACCCTTATTCTCTTGCTTCAATTATGGAATGAAAAAACAGACTCCATTGGAAAAAGGACAGTTTGCAAACACAGCTGTAACAATTCAGAACACTAGCAAAATAGAGAGAGTTTTGAGAGAAATTCTTGTTTGCAAATTACTCTTACCCTTCAGCAGGTAAAACAAAGCTCTTAACTGAGACTATTTGAAGATATATTGTGTTAAAGAATCATTTTGTGTGTTTTGATTTACAGATTTCAGAAATGGAGATTGGATTAGCAGTTGGTGGTGCATTTCTCTCTTCAGCTTTGACTGTTCTCTTTGATAGGCTTGCTCCTAACGGTGATCTGCTCAACATGTTTCAGAAGCATAAGGATCATGTTAAGCTCTTAAACTCCAAGAAGTAGTGATATATTTTTATAGTGGATATGTTGTTTGCTCATTCGGTGCTTGATATCCACATTGGAGTCCAACTAAATTCGAATTTGTACATTTGAAGGAGCGGCGCTCCTGACATGATTTTTTCCCATTCTACGACTCATGCTCCTAAATTCTAATTAAGGATAGAAAAATCTCAACTATCTCACCCCAACTCATATCAGTTATATTCGATATAAAGTGTAAACTAAAAATTTTATCATATCATATATTATTATAAGAGGGAATCAAAAAAGTTAAAAGTTAAATTACGATTTTATCCTTATTATAAATTAAAATGTTATAAAAATATTTAACTATTTAATTTAAATATTAAGTTACATTATTTTAATAGAAATGTTAATGACTTTTGCACTTCTTTAGAATAATTCTTAATTAAAATATCTAATTTAATTTATTTTCTTGAAATATTTACCCTTTAAATAGATACATGTATATGGTTTATCTTCTAAATTAATTTATGTTCTTAATTAATGTTTGTCTTTAATTTTTATAACACTTGACCTTTCAACTTTGTAAGTGAATCTTCACATTCCAAAGCTATATTTTTTCCTATAAATATAATCTTTTAATATTATTTTTATAGAAAGATTTATATGTGATACAATTTTTGTGTGTGGAAGACTAGAGAAGCTTTAATCAAGTGAAGAAAATTTCAAGTCAAGAGGATTTATGTCAAGATTACAAGGCATAATGTGATTCTACTAAAGTATCGAAGCTTGATGTATTTATTTTTTTAATTATTTGTCGAGATCGAAACTATGGTAAGACCCCTCCATTTATGTAGTTAAATATCACTTCCATTAACTTGTCTTCCAAATATTTTAATTTTTTATGGTCAAAAGTTGAATGTTTATTACTATAACTTTGTTTCAATTTGCATTATCAAAAAAAAAAAAGGAAAAAGATTGTCATAGAA